CACCTGGCTCCGGGAGTGCCATCTGGCCAGACTAATAAAGGTCTCTTTACCATCTAGCCTGGTGTGTTCCTTCCTGGGTTTCTCGGTTCTCTGTCGTGTTTGCGGAGCCTCGCTGGGTGTTAGGGCCCAGCATCGTGGAGGCCTTTTGGCTGTTCATGCTCCGTGGAGTGGAAGTGAGACTTTAGGTCTTACAGTTTGAGACCAGCCAGGGCAATTTAGAATCTGTCTTAAAATTTAGAAAAAAAATTTTTAAAGGACTGAGGATATAGCTTAGCAGATAAGTGCTTGCCTAGCATGCATCAACCCCTGGGTTCAATCTCCAGTACCAATATAAATAATAAATAAACAGTGACACATGCCTGTATTCCAGCAATCTAGAAAGCTGTCAGGAGGACTGTGAGCCAGAGTCCAGCATGGGTCATTTAGCAAGATCTTGTCTCAAAATGAGAGGGGGCCAGGGAAAGAAAGAAAAAAGAAGCTGGGGATCCTGGGTTCAATCCCTAGTGCCAGAAACACACACTTCACACACACACACACACACAGCACTACAGCCCACTCTACTGATCTTCTGAACTAATCACATCTGCCACGGTCCTGTCCCCAGATGCAGTCATACCTAGACACTCGACCACTTTGAGCCCGCAGAATTGGATTCACCGTGCATTCTTATGTGAACATTTTTGTCCCAGCGCACTTTGTTTGTTACTTGATATGCAAACTAGAGCTTATTGGTGTCTGTTATCCTGTGACTTGTTATTCTTTCAGTCAGAGCCATCTGTTTATTTCACATCATCTTTACTGCTCTTCACACCTCACAGAACCCACAAGTGGTGAGTATGGAAGTACTGCTGCAAAGGCACATTCCAAGGTCAGGACTTCATTTGTGTTTGTGTGTGTATTTGTTTGTTTGTAACAGGGCCTCACTATGTGGTTCAGGCTGGCCCTGAACTCCCAGAGATCCTCCTGCCTCAGCCTCCACAATGCTGGGATTCAGGAGTACCACCACCACGCCCAGCCTTTTGAGGTCAGGACTATGAAGCAGTTTTCGGAGAAACAAATTCCATAACAGAGGTGATATTTTGGGGACAGTATTTTTGAGTCCTTCACTTCTCTCCCACCCCTCTACTGGAAACCTGAATTACTTTGTTTTTTTGTTTTTTTTGTTTTTGAGACATGGTCTCACTATGTAGTTGAGACTGACCTGGAGCTCACTATATAGCCCAGGCTGGTCTTGAACTCACAGCGATCCTCCTGCCTCAGCCTCCCAAGTGCTGGGATTACAGGCATGCGCCACCATGCCCCGGCAGTTGAATTACTTTGTTTTTTGAGACAAGGTCTTACTAAATTGCCAAAGTTGTCCTCAAACTCACCATTCTCCTAAGATTTGGGGATTAAAAAAACTGGTTTTGACAGAGGAATTCCATCTTGGACCAAAAGGACAAGCATCATGCTATCTGCCACCGTGACAGCCTAGAACAGCCCCTACATACACCACTGTTGTTGGGGGCTGTGTTATCCCAGCCAAACCTAGAGGCTAATGAATGGCTGAACCGCAAGAACAATACAGGGCTATTTCTGAGGCTCGTAAGTCTGAGGCATGTTGAGAAGTCCCTCATGCTGCCCAGGTCTTGCCATCAGAACCATTTCATATCCTTTCCCTCGAGTGTTTTTGTCTGCTTGTTTGTCTTTTGACGCAGAGTCTCACTATGTAGTTCAGGCTGGCCTTGAATTCAGCCTTCTGAGTGCTGGGATTACAGGTGTGAGCCACTGTGCTCATTTCTCCCTCCAGTCTTAACACCATTAACAGTCAACTTTTGGGAAATGCCACCCCCTCCAGTGACCAAAACCACAGGAGTAATGCATCAGGTGACACCAGGCAGAGAGGTGCAGACAAGGTAGCTTTGAAAGTCCCACCCTTCCCCAGGGTGCTGTCCCTTCTCTGTCCTACAGCAGGAACCCACAACTCCCTAGGCCAGGCTGGCTATGCATGGCTTGGGGTATTTTGTAGCAAGTATTCTTCTTGGCCAGCACCCACCGCCACCCCTGGCACTCAGCCCTGACTCCTTCCTTTACAGCCCTGCAGGGTGAGGTAATGTAAGACACATTCATTTTAAAATTGGCCTGAGAAAAAGTTTCAGGAAAGAAAGCAACTGACAGAAAATATCACCCGGTGCGGGAGGGATTTCAACATGGCAGAATAGGTTTCCCAGGGCTGCTGTGATAAGCAACTACAAGCCAGACAGTTCCAAACTGCAGGAATTTGTTCCTCGAATTCTGGAGGACAGAAGTGCAAAATCAAGAGGTCAGCTGGGTGGGGTCCTCCTGGGAGCCCTGCACCAGCTACCATGTCCCTGGGGCCCTAGACAGGATCCCTGGGACCCCATTAATGCCCCTGTCCTCACATGGCCCTCTTACCTGTGTTTGTCTCTCTCTCCTCTTTTAGTACCTCAGTCACTGGATTCAGGCCCTGTCCTGATCCAGGATGATCCCATCCAAGGTCCTTATGTGAGCACATCTATAGGGACCCAGCTTCCGAGTAAGGTCACATTCCCAGGATGCTACACACCCAGTCCCCTCCCCTCGGTTTTCAGGATTTTGAGACCTTTGCAGGATGTTGAGAGGAAGAAACCTGTGCCTGGGGCCTTGGAACACAGGGTCCTTCTCTTTATGCTAATGCACAGAGGACTGGACACTCTCCCTGGGGCTCAGCGCCCACTGGCTGTGACCAGACTCCTCTACACAGATGTCACCCTGACCACGGCCACTCCAGCCAACAGGGCTCTCACAGGGAACACAGACAAGAATCTGCTGTGCTGGCTCTGCACCTCCATCCCCAGCGTCCCTGCATGTGCACATGCAGCTTCCTGTTTCCTGCGCCCTTGAATTCGCTTATCCCAGCACCCAGGGAGGATGCGTGACCACAGGGGTGGACTCTGTTCGGGAGGCCTGGTGTGCGACCCTCTTCCTAGACTTCCGGACTCTAAATTGGACTGTCCCTGGGGGCCGGGACAGACAGGACACAGTCAGCAATCATGGCCTATGTCCTGCTCTCTGGGTAACATCAGCCAAGGCCTTTCCTTAGAACAGGACAGAGTCACAGGCTGCCACTGTCAGGAAGAGCTTTGCTTATGTTGACTCAGCAAATGAGGAATATCCCAGGGCCATCTGCAAGGCCAGCACCCCACACTCACCACACCCAGGGCACTGGCCAGCCCAGGGAAGAAGCAAGCCCTGCCCCAGGGTGCCGGCTGCTTGTTGGGCTCCCCTGGGAACCCAGGGAGGCCTTAAGGCCATCCTTGAGAGATAGCAACCTTGCTGGCCAGGTACACCAGAGTGGGTCATCTGAGAGCAAAAGCAGGATTTCAGTCAGCAACAGAAATGCTTGAATTTGCAGGCCCCCTCTGTGCACAGTGGCTGTCCCTGCCCTTCCTGTTCTCCACTGTCCACTGCAAGCAGGCAGGCAAGGCAGGACAGCCTCAGGGGCAGCTCTGGCCAAGTCCATCTCAGAGCCTTAGTAGGGTTACCCCTCACCATGCTGGTAGGGGTTGGAGATGGTGCTGAAGCCTAGCTTAGTGCCTGGGCAAGGTGGTTAGACTCAGACATACATTAAATTCAAATCATTAGGATCAGTTTATTGAACATATAAATTCAAAGCCCAATTTCTTTCTGGAATTTTAGGGTCTCATTATGTAGTTCAGGCTAGACTTAAACTTGTAATCCTCCAGCCTCAGCCCCCCAAGTGCTGGAATTACAGGCATGTGCCGCATACCCAATCTGAATCTGTAAATTTATAAAGTATCCTTTTCTACTTTGTATCTGAATTGAAGTCTCACTGAAGAACTCAGATGAAAACTTTCAATGCAGTAAACCCGAAGTTATTTTGGATGCTTCAGAAACCTGAACATGAAACACAACTGTGGTCAGGGTTCACTCAATACAGAAATGGTAACAGCTATGGCTCTCAGGCTTTTTGTGCTTGAGTCTTGCTTGACCTTCTCTGCCTTCTGTGGCTGACAGAAGCATTTCAGCACAGGGACCTAGCCCCTTGGTGCCATCTGGCAACTCGGCAGGACTCCAGCAATGCCCAAAGGAGCTCTGCAGGGGAGTGGGGTGCACCCCGAATGGGTTTTGCTCTTTCATTCGAAGACCTCAGATCTGGAGGGGACGCTGAGGTGGATAATGCTTCTCCCATTCAAGTGACTGCGTGACTCCCAGGACACCCCGCACAGCTCAGGGGCCCTCTCCAGAGTTCTGCTGACTTGTGGTCATCATCTGGGCCCCTTGCCACTAGCGAGGTGCTGAGCTGGATACCAGGAAAGCAAACAGCCCCACTACACACTCCCAGCCCCACACTCCCAGCCCCACACTCCCAGCCCCTCGGGAAAGACGGGGAAGCAGGCACAAAATATGAGGAAGAGAAAGAAGGAAACGTGATTAGAAAGATCAACCACAGCTCCCTCGTGGAGAAGCCTCCGAGGCAGCAGGAATAAGGAACTGGCCGCAGAGTTGTCCTGGAGCTGGGGCTGAGTGGGGACCAGCGGTGAGGTTTTGCAGAAAGCTGCTGGGAACAGCAGAGGAGTAAGGTGGGGCCTGGTCGCTAGTGACTGAAAAGTGGCGACGCGTACACACTACAGTGTGAGGCAGCCCCGCTCTTCTCGGGGGGGCCTGAGGTGGGGTTGGGGGTCTGTCTGCCTCTGGGTTCCCGCTCGCTCAACCTGCAATACCTAGGGGAGGATTGAAAGTCCCGACTCCAGACACGTGGGTTTGCGCTATCTAGGTCACATAGCCTAGTGCACAGGGCGTCCCAGACTCAGGTGGCGCTAAACTACCAGGAACTGCCGCACTGGGGACCCGCAGGGACCAGCGGCTTGCAAGCCCCGCCCACGGCCGCGCCCACGGCCGTCCAACAAGCCAACAGGTGCCAGCTGCAACGCTGCAGGCCCCGCCCCCCCAGTGTGCCTTGCGCTGCGGTCGGAAGCTAGCGTGGCGTGAGCTGCGGGCTGTGGGCGGGACTTCCGGAGCGTTGATGCGTCTACGGGTCAGGCACTACGGGTCTGGCCGGCCTCCGGACATGAAGGTGAGCTGTGGGCTGCTGCCCTGCCCTCCTCTTCTAGCTGCCTCGGCTTCTCCGCTTCGAGGTGGGCGCGCCGGGCAGGGACTTGACGAGCAAGAGGCGCGGGCTACGCCGGGCGGGCGCGTGTGTGGGAGTCGGAAGGACGTCGCGCGGGGGAGTGTGAGCGTGTGAAGGTGGGCAAGTGAGCGAGTGTGGGAGCGAAGAAGCGAGTGCGGAGGAGCGAAAGCGACGAGACCCAGGCCGGGAGCCAGTGTGCCGTAGGAGGCAACATGCGGGACGGCGTCCGATGAACGTGCATAGAGTGCGTGAGGATCAGAACACGGGAATCGTTGAATGGAAGCTGGTGCGGAGAACGATTGTAGTTAGTGTGCATGGTGGTGGCCACAGGTCCCGGGCAAGAGAGCACGGCCAAGGACCCAGGGTGTCCCCCGAGTGCGCACAGGTGGCTCCTTGAGCTTGTGCATGCGGCAAGCCAGGTCTCACCCTGTGTAGGGCTGGAGACTCCACGTTGGAGGGTGACTAGCCCGCCACTTGCTTCGCAGGTTCTATATTGAAGCCCAGACAGGTCGAGGGACCACAGGCTGGCGACAGAAATGGACCTTGCGCTATCTCATAGCTGTCCTGTTTGTCCTGCGCTATGAAATTGGTGTAGTGACGTGGCTGCGCGCCCCAGTGGTGAGCAGGCTGCCTGCTGGGTCAGTCTTCTCATCCTTGAATGGGGTAACTATGTCCGGGTGTGGAGAAAACCATGCGCAAACACCAGGTTGGCATGCAACACATGGTCAATAAACATCACCCGGGGTTGTGATTCCTGCCTCCTATGCCCCCTTTATTTCTGAGCATACACACTCACCTGTCACCATGAGAACATCATTGGCTCCAAAATGTGTGCTCAGAGGTGACCACAGACATGACCATGCTACTTGCCATAGGAGCAGCCTTTCTGGTAACAAAGTTAGCTCAGGGCTGAAGGTGTGGCTTAGTGGTAGAGCACTTGCCTAGCACACACAGTGCTCAGTCCCAAACATTGCAAAACAGGCATCCAGCCGCTGGCCTCAGCCACGGACACCCAGGGTACATTGATCAACATTCCTCATATCACGAAGTACCAGCATTGGGGTCAGCCTAAGCAGGAGAAGCCAGTTCCTAGCAAAAGTCAGAGTGAGTCACTGAGGAAGATTAGTTTCAATCTGCTTCTTTCCCTCTGCACATGCTGGTTCGTTTGTTACGTGGGTCTGCGTGAAAAGCGTTTGCATTTCATCAACCAGTGCTATGGGACTCAGAGCCCCAAAACAGCGACAACACTGCATTTCTTTGTTAGCGTGATTATTTATTTATTTATTTATTTTTTTTTTTGGGTGTTTTGAGACTTTCTTCTGTAGTTCAGGTGCCCTTGAACTGGCTGGTACCCTCCGTCCTTAGCCTACCAACCAGGTGCTGGAATTACAGGTGTGGTCCCACCACACCCAGCATGCCTAGTTTGCTATGAAGCAGGTTCTGAGATGTAGTTGGGTAATGTCACAACACACTACACTTTGTGCAGGCCTTTGTGCCCAAAGGAGTGGCACATGGTATATGGGAACAACACACATTTTGATGCAAGAACAGTGTGAGAACCCAGGAGTCAGCTATGTGAAGAGCACCATGGAAAGTTGACCTTCATCAGCCTTGGAGTAGTGACCAGTGGTGTGAAGGGGTGGATATGGGGAGTGTGGCAGCCTGAGCACCCTCACACACACGTATCACACTTCCCTGGCAGTCAGTCTGAGAAGACAGAACTCAGCACTCAGGAGCAGCCTTCATCCCATAGACTGCCAAGGATGGATGGTCAGTGGCAGCAGTGGCCCTGACCTTGCACCTCATCCGGTTCTTCTGGTGCCTCCCTGCCAGATACAGAAGCAGACGGGCCCACCATCCTACCCTGAATGTCCAGAAAGGCCCCTCTACTTTACTCTTTCTTCCTGGAGGTTGAGAACTTGGCAGGTGGTAGACAGCTGGATCCAGGTAGGTGGACAGTGGCCCTGCTGCAAGAACAGGCCATGGCAGGCCAGGCACCCTCTCAGGTTACTCCTGGACCACTTCCCTGGAGGATCTCCCGGTTTGGTTTCTCATCTCTTCAGTGACACATGTCACCCAGGGGAGAGAAGGAGCCTGTAGCCATGGAAGGGGCTGTGGCAACCACAGTCTCAGCCTGGCCAGGCAAGGTGCAGGAGATTCTGGGCCACTTGCCACCTCATCAAACCCCTGGAGGTGTGAGCCACCCAGCCCAAGCCTCAGAGCATAGCAGCCAGCTAAGGGCTGGGGAAAGGCTGCTTCCCCTTGATTCAGATTCTGACGCTGGAAAGGGGCTGGTGGGAAGGGCATCAGGCAGGGAGGGCTGTGATCCAGCCCTGGTCTCACCCCTCGGGGTAGCTGTGACACTCAGTCACCATCTGGGGCTTTATGCACAACACAAAATGCTGTTCTACGCAACTGTTCCCCTCCTAACTCCTAGCTCCTCACCCTGAGGGCCAGGCTGTCCTATGCCTGCCACTTTTCACACATGTGGGGGTTGCTTTGGGGGCCAGGTCTTACCCAAGGTACCCAAGGAAATGACAGTGGAATGGGGTGGTCTGTACCCTGCAGGAGCCCAGCTGGAGTTGTGGGGGTGAGCTAGGGTGGGCCTGGCTCTGGCCAGAGCTCCTGGGCCTCTGGCCTGGGTTCTGCTGTCCTCAGAAGTACCTATGGTTCTCTGCCTACCTGTGCCTGGGCTCTGCAGGCTCTGCAGCTACTCTGGAAGTCAGACTAGGCAACAGGCTCCCATACACCTGATGTCCTGAGGGCTTGGAGGACTCGGCATGGCTGAGCCATGCTTGCCCAGCTGCCCTTGGAAAGTGCAAAGAAAGGAAGCAGAATTGCTTAGAATCTGAAAATGAACCCAACAACTAGTAGTTCAGGGCAGCTAGGCAAGGTGTTGCACACCTGTAATCCCCAAGAGAGGCCAAGGTAGGAAGATCACAAGTTTGAACCCAGCCCAGACAATTTACCAACTTAAAAATGAAAATAGCTGGGGTTATAGCTCAGTGTCAAGGCCCTGGGTTCAATCACCAGTGTTGAAGGGTGAGGGGGTTTGATGCAGAAAAACCAGAGAGTGCAGATAAAAGAAGAAATGAGCAGTAATTCCTGATAGCTAGCTTGTTTACTTTTCAGCTTCCTTACATAGTTTTAGGGGTATTGGTGATTGAACCTGGCGGTGCTCTACCCCTGAGTTAGAGCCCCAGCCACCACCACCCGGCCTTTTTGAGACAAGTTCTCACTATGTAGTTGAGACTGACCTGGAACTCACTCTGTAGCCCAGGCTGGTCTCGAACTCACAGTGATCCTCCTGCCTCAGCCTCCCGAGTGCTGGGATTACAGGCGTCCACCACCATGCCCAGCTCCCAGCCCTTTTTATTTTTATTTTGAGACAAGGTTGCACTAAGTTACCCAGACTGGCTTTAAACATGCCTCCTGAGGAGCCACGATTCCGGCTGGGTACAGGTGACCTAGCCCTGTATACTTTTCCACAAGGGTATGCACACGTAAAGACAGGCTGTGCCACATAAATGCAGTTTTGTGATGTCTGTGCATCGACTAGCACAGTTGCAAGTGCCATGGTCCCTGCCTGTGCAGTACCCAGACATGTCAGGTCCATTGCGTGGTTCTTGTGTGGATATCCCCAGTGTACATCTGGAGAGTACATGGAGTGCACACTGGACAGTGTGATGTTTGTAACCAAACTGTCATCTGCACAGCTCTTCCTGGCACAAATTCCCCCTCAGCCCAAGGCATTGCCAGATCCTGGTGCAGCCATCTCTCCGTGCTCTGTACGCTGAGCAGTATGGATGCTCCTGGGTGAGGCTGAACTACTCACTTCCGAGGCTCTATCCAAATCAAACCGTACCTCTTCTTGCCCCTCTTTGTGGTTTTGGAAATTGAACCCCAGGTTTCACACGCGCTAGGCAGGTGGCTCTACTATGGAGCTTCATCCTAGCCCTTCTGATTTTTTTACTTGGCGACAGTCTTGATGTGCTGCCCATGCTAACCTCGAACTTGTGACCCTCCTGACTCAGCCTTCTGAGTATCTAGGATTACAGGCATGTGCCACTATTCCTAGCCCTTTCTTTATCTAGGATTGTAGGCATGTGCCACTATTCCTAGCCCTTTCTTATTTTTTAGTAGAACATTTTTCACTGAGGTGTCTTGTTTTTTATTTTCCCCCCTTTTCAGTGCTAAGGGATTAAATTGAGGATCTCCTTTTATTTTTATCTTGAGACAGGTTCTTGGCTAAGTTACTGCATTGCCCAGGCTTGGCTTGAATTTTCAGCACTGCTACCTCCCAAAATTCTGAGATTATAGGCAGGTACCACCACCCACAATTGTCTTTTATTCTCAATTTGTAAGATTTTTTTTTTAATGGGTAGAAACTCATTGCCAGGTATGTTCCAAATATATTTATTCTGACTTATTTGCTTTTTTTTTTTTTTTTTTTGTATTGGTGATCAAACTTAGGACCTTGCATTTGCCAGGCAGGCACTGTGCCACTGAGCTACATCCCCAGCCCTGACTTACTTGCTTTTAAATTTGCGGTTTGGTTCCTAAATGAAAATTTTATGTTAGCTGAGCATAGTGGTGCAAGCCTATAATCCTAGCACTTGGGAGGCTTAGGCAAGAGTTCAGGCCAGCCTACACTACATAGTGAATTCAAGGACAGCCTGACCCTGTCTCAAAATAACCCAAAAATTTACTTTATGTTGCCTCGTCTAGCCTGGAACTCATGGGTTCAAGTGATCCTCCTGCCTCTCAGCCTCTTGAATAGCTGACAGTACAGGTGTGTGCCATGGTGCCTGTCTTTGAAAGTTTTACATTTTCATGTCATTTTTACGGTATTTTCTTTCATAACCTCTCCTATGCTGATACCAGTTGGAAAAGCCTTCCCTACCTTGAGATTATATAAATAGGTCTTCATAATTTTTTGTGATACCTTTTGTGGCCTCATTATTTTATGCTTCACTGTGGCTGAGATTTCCTTGGGCCTGAGGGGCGAGTGGGGGACAGCATTTTCCTAGATGGTAGGCCATGGACAGGACAGCCTAGGTAGTTGGGAGTATCTGTGGCAGAACTCCTGTCTGGTACCTGAGAGGAGACTCAACTTAGCCACCTGGGCTGGCCCAGGAGAGGGCCGGTGCTGGGGACCGAGGAACCAGGCCCTTTAGCAGGGGGCTGCTGGCCACGCCACAACCCTGTGGTCAGCTCTCCACGTGCTCTGCTCTCCCCACAGCCCCCTGGCCCTGGAGGCTGACCCTGCTGTGACTGCCCACCATGTGGACGCTCCTCCCCATCCTCTGGCTCACCCTGGCCTGGGGCTCCGTGTGTGCCACCTTGTCAAAATCAGATGCCAAAAAAGCTGCCTCAAAGACACTACTGGAGAAGGTACGGTACTGGGGATGTGAGGTGACCTCCCTGTCACCCTCTTCCCTGACTGGCTGGGGCTGTGAGCCGGATGAACAGAGGGGCCGTCAGAGGAGCCACGGTTGTTGGCGTGTGTGATGGTGGCTGGCCTGTGGATGGGGCCGCTCTGGGGTGTGGCCACCACAGCTCCGAGCGAGCAGCCCCTGCAGCCACATTCTAAGAGTGACAACTTGCTCAGTGTCACCCTTTTCCCCCTTGTAGCTCCCCATGTGGCCCATTTCCTGTGACAGCTGCCATCTGCTCTTCCTGCTTCAGCTCCTGCATCCTGTGCCACCAGCATTTTCTCTGGTGCAAGCTGTGCTCACATTGCAGCCCTGTGCTGTCCCTCTGGTGTCCCCAGGGATTGTAAACTTGAGGGAGGGGCCTAGCCCAGCCTACCCTCGACCCCGCAGACCCCATGCTGCTAACCAGGCTGTCACAGGACTTCCTGCTTTGGGCCAGGGAACCACACAGTGGGTATCTCTGTCTCTCACGGGGCTCTGTGGGGTGAGGTCATGGAGGCTGAGCTGAACTGAGCCTTGGAATGTGCACAGAACCAGCAAGTTGAGAACACAGACAAAGACTTCAGGAACAGAGGCTCGGTAGGGGAGGCAGTTTCACAGGGCACAGGACATACGTGGAGGTGCAGTGAGCTTGGCCAGTGGAGCCGCACGGTTGTAGCATGTTCTCTCCAGGTGTGGCCTTCTGTGCTCAGATGCATGTTGAGTGGTGTTAGTGGCCCGGAGAAGGGTGGGCACAGAGGGCTCAGATGTCACTCAGCAGCAGAGCACTTGCTCAGTATGTGCAGGCAAGGCCCTGGGTTCCATCACCGGTACCAAAAGAAGAGAAAAAAAGTGTGGGAATGGCCACTGACAGCTGCCACTGTCTATCTGTGTGTTCTTTTAGGACAGTCCTAGGGATTCTATTGTTTTTTTATTTATTTTTTTGTTTGTTTGTTTGTTTGGTTTTGGTACCAGAGATCGAACTCAGGTGCTTGTGCTTGCAAGGCAGGCAGAACCACTGAGCTAAATCCCCGGCTCAGTCCTAGGGATTCTGAATGCAGGGCTGGGTCTCCTTCCAGCCCAGCCTTCCTAGACAGAGACGGGACCTAAGCCCTGCTGTGCCTTAGTCCTCCATCTGCCAGGTTTCCAGGCTAGCCTTGCCATGTTGATCCAGACATGTTGGCCATGACCAAACTGACAGGCTCCCCAGTTTCACATTCCGTCGTGGGCACACACACTGAAGGCTTCCTCCTTTTCCTGCTGTTTCAGACTCAGTTTTCAGATAAGCCTGTCCAGGAGCGGGGTTTGGTGGTGACAGACTTCAAAGCTGAGGACGTGGTCCTCGAGCATCGCAGCTACTGCTCCGCAAAGGCACGGGAGAGGAACTTCGCTGGGGATGTCCTGGGCTACGTCACTCCTGTGAGTCCACACCTCGGTGCAGGGGCCCTGATGCTCTGGCGTGCTGCCCTCGCCCATGGTGCTTGCCTCCTCCTCCTGTGTGCTCATCTCCCTGGGCTGCTGCCACTGTGTGACCGCAGCCACAGGTGCTGTCCCGGAGATGACGGGGAAGGTACCAGGACTTGTCTGGGCCTTTTGCCTCGTGGCTGCAGATGCGCCCTGAGTCTAGAGGGCTCTTGGCCGTGTGGCCTCACTCCGGCTTGCTGTCTCAGGATGAGACTTGGAGAGATGAGGCTTGATCAACCCTGGAGAGGGGCAGGTGGCCAGGATCCCAGGCTAGGGCTGGCTGTCTCAGCAGCTCTTGGGTGGGAGGAGAGCACCCCAGGTGGGGCCTGACATCTGCCCAGGCTGAGTGCCGTGTGCACCAGCCAGCTGGCCTGGGTGAGCATGTGCAGGGCAGCCAGGGTGACAGTTTGATGGTGAGGCAGGGAAGCACTCATCCCCTTCTATCTGTTGTCTTCCCCGCCAGTGGAATAGCCATGGCTATGATATGGCCAAGGTCTTTGGGAGCAAGTTCACGCAGATCTCACCTGTCTGGCTGCAGCTGAAGAGGCGTGGCCGGGAGATGTTTGAGATCACAGGCCTCCACGATGTGGACCAAGGTTCTCGTCCCCTCCCATCTGCTGGTGGCTGGGCTGAGGAGACTGTGTGCATCTGTGTGCGTCTGTGTATATGTCTGTGAGTGTGGCAGTGCATGTGTGTGATGCTGGGCCTATGTGGGATGACTGTTGAGAGTGCGTTCGTGTGAGAGCACATCAAGTGTGACTAGTTGTGTGTCTCTGGGTATGGCTGTAAGTGTGACCTGCTCCCTCACAGGAACACAGCCCACCATGCAGACCCGTGGTGGGGGCTGGCAGGCAAGCAGGGCAGGACAGGCCGGGTGGAGGTGTCCAGCGAAGGGGGACCCTCTGTGGACCCAGCTGAGCCCTGGGGGTGGGGACTGTATGGCAGGACTTCCCTTGCGCATGGAATGTAGAGCCCTGAGTAGTGATGGGCACAAGCCATTGGCACCCTCTCCTCTGTCCCTCCTTGAGGGTTCTCCGCAGCGTTCAGAGAGGAGGTGAGGCCTGGCAGGACACTGTGCTGCCAACACGTCCTTTGAAGTGCTCGAGGCTGTGGGACTGAGCCTCATGTTAGCGGGCTTTGAAGTTCTGAGACGAGGACTGGTTTACCTGGTGCTGTGAAGACTGCGGGGAGAGGACAGTGTGTTAGGGAGTGTCCGGTGGGTGCTGGCTGCCCCTCAGCTCGGAGAAATAACCCTCAGGATGGTGAGACACAGCTCTGTCCTGCCTCAGACCATCCTTGTGCTAAAGAGAAAAAGTAAGCTCAGAGCTGCTGTAAAGGTTGGAGCAGGAGCCAAGGCCAGCACGAGGGGTGGTGGAGAGCTGTGCCCAGGGCAGGACAAGTGGGTTCTCACTCCAGCTCCTCTCTCCTGGGGCTCAGCTGCCCTGAGTGATGGTGCTGCTGTCTTGGAGGTTCTCCCTTCTTGCATGGGCACCCGCTGCAGGACTTAGCATCTCCACCATGCCCCACAGGTTGGATGCGAGCTGTGAGGAAGAATGCCAAGGGCCTGCACATAGGTGAGTCCAGCAGACCTGAGAGCCATCGGGGCACAGTGGAGGTAGCACCACTCCTGGGGTGGAGAGGGCCCTGAGGGTCTCAGAGGGCCTTTCAGGCTCGGCTGCACTACTCAAGTGCAGGGCCTGCTCCTGACAGCTCTGACCAAGCTGACCCCACCATGACATGCCTGGGCCATGACCCCCAAAGCCAGCCATGTCCTCCTTCCCTTTTCTTCCTTCACCCACCTAATAAGAGCTTCTGAGTTCCCCAGGGCCAGCCCCAGGCCAGGCCTGAGGGTGAGGCTGGCCCTGCCTAGCAGAGGGTATGTATCTCTGCCTGCAGTGGGAGCCTGGGCAGCAGTGGGCATGTGGTCAGGGTCAGAGATGGGGCTGAGATGCACCCCTGCCCCCGACTCAGAGCGCTCCCTGAGAGTGTGGGGTTTGGGCCACGACTTGGGAACAAGTGAGGCCCAGGGGCCTTGCAAGGCCAGGCGGGGCCCTGCACAGGAGGACAGTGGGACCCTTCTGGTCAGACTGAGGGCAGAGATGGCTACAGACAGACCATGGACAGCCGGGAGCCAGCTGAGCCAGGATCTGCCCAGCCTCTTCCTGGAAGCCTGGTGAGGCGAGAAGGCTGTCAGTGCGCCCTTGCTCCTCCCCTGACGGGTCTCTCCCTCCCTCCCTTGCCAGGTTGCACTGGTGTGGGTCTCCACACTGGACCTCTAGCTGTCTTAGGTGGTGTCCCCATCTGTCTCCATCCTTACTCAGTTCTAGGAGCCAAGGGAACACATTTTAGGGGCAACAAGCAGAGGAGGGTAATTTGGGGTTACTATCACAATCTCTTGTGTCCCTACCCCCAGTGCCTCGTCTTCTGTTTGAGGCCTGGACTTACGATGATTTCCGGAATGTCTTAGACAGCGAGGATGAGATAGAAGAGCTCAGCAAGACTGTGGTCCAGGTGGCAAAGGTGAGACCTCTGAGTATAGCTGGGGCTCCTCAGTACAGCCACGAGACTCCGCCTCCTAGACAGAACCTATCCGTCCCCCGCAAGCCCTGTCTCCCTGCTTTCATCTATGGCTGGGCCTCTCACAGGGCCTTGCTCAGCTCCTCTTGCCTGGCTGTATTCCTGGACACTTTCTGGCACAGCCCACGTCTTCCACTCAGGACAGTGCCAACCTGGATCAGGCTGCTGTGTACTGCGTCTTGACCGCAAGGGTTTTCTGGTGTCTCAAGGGTGGGCAACTTCTTGGGTCCTTGGCCAGAGCTCCACTTCCCTCCTTGGAAGGCACATCCCTGCAGCTGCCTGCAGTTTGGCCTGCAGAGCTGGAGGAATTTGAGCAGGTGAATGCAGGGGTGCAGCCCCGCTGCTCCTGGCTCCTGTGGAGATGGCCCACGCTGCCCCTGGGGGGGTTGAGCAGCACAGGCTTGGGTCTTGCCTGTGGCTGGGTTGTGACCTTGCCAGGTAGGCAGGGAAGTGGCTCATTTTGTGTCCTTCTTCCTGTCCCTCCTGGGTCCCTGTTGCTCCTCAGCTGCTGCCATTTCTTTCAGAACCAGCACTTTGACGGCTTCGTGGTAGAGGTGTGGAGCCAGCTGCTGAGCCAGAAGCACGTGTGAGTGGGAGGTCAGGGGCCTGAGGAGGGGCACGGGTGTCTGGGTCAGGTTGTCTGGATGAGCAGAATCAACAAGAAGTATGTATATCTTTATGCAAGGGGGTTTGTTAGAGAGCACAGAGGATCAGAGGCAGGAGGGTGCACATGGCCGTCAGCGCACTGGAAAGCCAAAGGGTCAGGGAGCCGCTCAGCCCAAGATGGAAGCTGCAGAACGAGAGGGGTCAAGGACCCAGGGCCAGTCCAAGGTCGAAGACCTGGAAGCTCCCAGGAGGGTCACTCGGGTGAGCCTGCCAGGGAGGTTGAAGACACCAGAGACAGAAGTGCAAAGATGATGGCAGCACAAGATGCACTGGCTCAAGCAGGTGGAGCTCCTGTCAGAAGTGCACCAGCTTCCTCTTCTTCCCCTTCATTACTCTAACCAGGATACAAGCTCATTGGTTGGTGCCACCCACGACTAGGGTGGGTTTTCCCATTCAGTTTGCTGGCCTGCATGACAGTCCTCCCTGGAAATGCCCACAGACACACCCAGAACTGCGCTTCACTCCTCTGCCTGGAGTTTTGTCTCTTACCCAGTCGGGACTAGCAGTCACAGAGAGGAAGGAGCTGTCTGGGAGGGCCTCCTCCCGTGGTCTCTGTGGAATGGGAAGGGGAGTCTGCAGAGATGGAAGCCTACACAGAGGAGCCGGGAGTGGCCACATCACTGTGCCACCTCGAAGCCCCTGGTGGGTGGTAAAGGGACAGAGGATCTTGACCATGAGGATTCAGCACGAGGATGGTCAAGATAGTGTGACCGAGGGCCAGCATGGACACAAGCAGAAATCCTCGCTGAGTGCACAAGAGCCCATCTGGGATGTTAACAAAAGTTCAGCCATAGTGTTACACACCCCTAATCCCAGCATTTGGGAGGCTAAGGATCACCAGTTTGAGCCCAGCCTGGGCAACTTAGACTCTCAAAATTAAAAGTTAAAAAGGGGGTGGGAGCTGGAGGTGTAGCTCAGTGCAAAGGCATTGGGTCAAACAGAGAAGAGGCCAGCTGGGTGAGGTGTATGTGACACCCACAGCATTCTCTGGGAAAGGGCTGTCCAGGCCCTTTCAACAGCTCCTGGAAGGAAGCTGTCCAACGTTCTCGTGCCTCCTCGCTGCTTCGTTGGGAGACTTGGGTTCCCACACCTTGGCCAGGTGACCAGAGGAATGGAGTCATGGAAGGTGCCTGCAACTCCTGCAGGTCCAGGACAGTTTGAAGCTGGCCAGAGCCTTGAGCAAAGGCCTCTCCCTGGTTTTGCTCAGGCAGCTCACCCAGTTCGCCTGAAGCAGGCCCTTTGCCTAGTTGTCAAGATGCCAGAGGGAAGGCTTTGCCCTGGGCTGGTGCCACCTTGATGCCCTTGGAAAAGCTTGTGTCACAGGGGCCTGCAGCCCTCTGTCCAGCCCAGCAATCTCCAGAGAAGTACGGGTTCCATAGTTGGCTATCCTCCCTTTCCTTTCCTGCCTGAGGGACTTCTAGTGGTATCTAAGGCCCAGCTCAGTGCTGGGAAGCACTGTCCCACCCTGCCTGCCCAGAGGCATCCTTGGGTTCCCAGGTGTCCTCATCACCTGCTGTACTGTCAGTGCTCCCAGTAAAACTGCAGGTCTCAGCTGTGCCCGCCAGGAGGCAGCAGCCCTGCACAGATCTGCACTGCTATGTGTAAATCTGTGGAGGTGGAGCCCCAGGGGCAGGATTGAAAGATGTGCCAGGATTCCCTCTGCAGACCTGAGCCCCCTCTGTGCCCTTGGGAGGTTTGGGTGGGGAGGACGATGGAGCGTGTCACAGTAAGTGAGGGTATTCCTGGGTCTGTGGACCCCGCCAGAGGCCTCACTAGGCACAGTGCCCTCCTCAGCTGCCCTTCTGGCCCCTCTGAAGGAGAGGGGTCACTCAGGCGACACTGCCAGCTCTCATCCATCCCTCTCCTCCCAGGACAATAGCTCTGTTTACTCAAGGTGTGCTGTAACTTGCTTCTGTTTCAGTGCATTAAGTGGACAATGAAACACAGCCTTATTGTGTCTGGCTCTGATGGGTCATTAATATCAGAGCAGGAGGCTATGGGCAGCAGGGGCTGGCAGTGAGAGGAGCCACCCAACCCCTCATGTCGGTGGGGGGAGCAGTTGCAGGGCTGCTAACCTGATGGTCCCTTGGGCATTCTGTGCCTGGCAGCTGCCTCCTAAAATGAGCCCAGGCACAGTGAGAGACATGGGAATCTTTAAGGAGGCTGCTAACTTTGGTCTCTGCCTCCTGCTCCACCTGTCACCTTGTGGGCATCAAGCCTGGATCTGACGCACCAGATCGGTCTTCCAAGGGCCACGGTCGGCAGGCTCAGGCAGCCACATGATGGTTGTCTGTGACACATGGGCTTGGGGAGCCAGCCCATTAGCTCCTCTCCCGGGCATGGCGAGGTGTCCAGGAGCTGTCTCCCCCAGCTCTGCCAACTTTGCTTCAGAGCGCCATCTGGCCAGTATAGGTGTCCTGTGCAGTGGCCAGCAGGCACCACAGGAAGGGGTGTGTGGGCAGCCTGGGGACCTGCTGATCTCAGGTCCTCACCTGGGCCTCCTGTTAAAGTCCCCCTGGAGGAAGGGATGAGCCCCTTCTTCCTGTGAGGTCCCTGCAGTTTGAACTCCAAGGGGTGCTGTAGGTAGCAGCCTGTGGCCTCAGCTGGTACTGGCCAGAGACGTAACTCTATTCACAGTGTTGGTCCCGGGTCTCCTCCCAGCAGGTAGCAATGGTCCTAGGGTGTCCCTGCCCAAACCAAGCAGGGTGATGATAACAGCTGTGTCAGGACACTAAGGGGGACAGGTAAGGGGCTTTGGCAAGAGGCTGCAGGCCCTGGGGTATCAGCCCCATAGCTGCGCCACAGCCTGCCCCTGCAAAAGGCCAGGCCTGGCTGTCCATCCTGCCAGCCTTCACTTGGACTCACCCCAGCAGGCTGGGCCCAGGTGGGCTCTCACACAGCTGCCTCCTGGGCACAGGCCAAGGTCTGTTGGCAAAGCCCTTGGAAGGGACATTGCTACTGCTGGTCCCACTAGAGTGGCCCCTGGTGGTCTCTGTGCCTAGAGGGGCTAAGGGTGGCGCACCTGTCCTTACCAAAGGTCAGCTCCAGGCTGTGCCTTGAGATGTTGATGGTAGCTACCAGACTCTCTGGGTCCCTTGCTGAGTGACCTGGGCCCCTTTCAGCCCTTGAATCTGGTGTGTCCTAGGGATACTTACAGGTAACACAAAGGCCCCAGGCTTGGTGGCCATGGAGAGGTCTTCCTGGGGTCCCTCCCTCTCTTGTCCCAATTGCTGGCCCCTGTGCACCTCCTACCCAGCCCAGAGGTTCAGCCCCTCCTTTCTTCTGAAGTCCTACCTGGGGTGGCCCTCAGGGTGTCCCATGGCGTTTCACGGCCTGAGACTGACCAGGCCTCCCTCAGGTCATTATTGTGTTAGGCCTACCTCAGGATCTGGAGCATAATGTAGACCTTGGGCTTCCTGGTCATTTGGGCCTCTTTTTCTGAGTTTTCTCGGGTGCTGCTTGGATATCTGCTCTGGAGACGCCTGAGTAGGGGATAGGTTTCGTGCTAGGCACAGGAAGAGAAAGGCCACCTCTTCCAGCTCCCTTCAAGGCCCACACTGGTCTCCATCCTGAGGGCCATGTCTCCAGCAGGGTGGGAATATTCTCCATGAAGGGTCTGACTCCCCTGTCAAGGGGCTCAGCCTGGGCCATCTGTGTTGCTCCGTGACACTGGTGTAAGGAAGCTCCAGAGTCTGACCCGCCCTGTGCCCAGGCAGCGGGCCCTCGGAGCCCTGGGCTCCCTGGGATGACCCCGCCTCTTGGTTCTTGCAGGGGCCTCATCCACATGCTCACTCATGTGGCCGAAGCACTGCACCAGGTCCGACTGCTGGCCATTCTCGTCATCCCTCCTGCTGTCACCCCAGGGTAAGTGCCTTCCTGTCCAGAGTTGGGGGCAGCTGTCACGGGTTCTGGCAAGGGCCAGGCCCTCAGTGCACACAATTGACCCACCCATCTGTGTGGACACCGGTCACTGCCTTGCAGAATGGGGAGAGGAGGAGAGGCCCCTTCTCAGCTGGCTCTGGCTCCCCTTCCTGTCACTTGTCAGCAGAGGGAAGCCATGTTCTGCAGTGCAGATGGACTTGAGGCCATTGCGGAGTGTCTCACTTGGAGAATGGGGTTCTAGAATCACTTTCCTCACTCTCAGGCGCTGGAGCTCCCAGATACTTGGTGCTGCAGGGCAGGGCTGTGAGGCTGCTGGCAGTGCCGGCCCTGTGTCCCACAGGCTGACTGCCCTCCCAGCTCTGCTGCAAGGCGGCTCTTCTGGAACTTCTGGGTGTGTGGTGTGGGCATGCCCTCAGGAGCTAGGACAGTGAGGACAGGCTGGGCTGAGAGGACAGCAGTGGCCGGGTAGGAGTACGTAGGCGTCTGGCACGTTGCAGTGGGGCCCCGGGTCTGCACTCACCCACCAGCTTCCACAGAGCAGCCCTGCCCACACGCCCTCAGCCCTCAGGTATCTCTGGAAGGAGGCAGCCAGGTGTCTCACACCTTTGCAGCCTGTGGCTCGTTAGTGGATGGGGTTGACCACTCCGCCGGGGCCTAGGTGATGCATAGGCGTGTTGAGTCACACAGCCAGGAGATCTGTACCCCCGCAGAGCCTGCACTGTGCTCAGATATCCAGAATAGATGCTGGCTGCTGCCTACCCTGTGCCTCACTACCTGTGGTACCAATCACCTCCCACCATAGGCCGTGGTCAGGCCACTTTGGAGCAGTTCCCCACATTGGCCTCCAGTGTGCTCCTGTGTGACCTTTCTCCCCATGCGTCCCTGCCCTTGGCCGCCCGTAGACTGCAGCTAGGGGCAATGGTTGGGGTGGTGGCTCCAGCCGACCTTCCCCCAGAGGTGAGCCTGGAGGCCACGTGTTCCCGTGTAGAACATGCTTGTGTATGTGGTGCCTGTGTGTGTAGCACAGTGGGGCTCCGTGTTCATCTGTCTTTGGGTTTTGGTCAGCATTGTGCAATTGTTGCTCCTGTGCCTGTTGCTAAGACCTGGAGGGCCTTGTCTCACCTGAGCCTCAGCAGCCCCCTCAGGCCTGACTCTGCCCTGAGCTGCTCCACCAAGTGATGGGTAGAAGGTGGCCAGGTCTATTCCTTTAGCCTGGCAACCCTACCTTTGCCAGAGAGAGGGACCCATATCCAGGGCTAAGGGTGCTACAGCACTTTCCCCAAGCTGCATCCTTTCCTTCTCTGATGGAAGGTACTTAGAATGTCTGGCCTGTGCTCCCAGGGTTTGCCAGGGGTGGCGAGGGTAAAGCTAGGGGGCACTACCTTCCTGTGCTGATGACAGCCTTGCAGGCCCAGACAGAAGGAGAGGCTAGGCCACAGCACCCTGGGCTGCATTGCCTCCACTGGCGCTCTTGTGCTGGGTCCTGGTGTCTGGAGTGTGGCTCGTGTGGCCCAGCTGCAGGGGTCACATTGCCCTTGGTAGTTCAAGGATCACCTGTGGGAAGATGCAGGAGCAGGTCTTAGTCAGGGGGCGCCCTCTGGGCCTGCCCAGCCAGCTCTGGGTGACAGCCTTTCCAGGGGCACTGCCTCTGCCCAGCTCCCATGGACAGTGGAGGCTACCTCCTCCCTGATCTGCAGTGACAGGACAAAGGTCCATTTGTGGGGTACCTGGGGGGATAGAGGCAGCAGCTGGGAGAAGGAGCAAGGCTGTGGACCAAGCTGGGCCCAGGTCCTGAGGCCTACCTGCTGCAGCTCCACTCCCAGCTGCAAGGGCGGGCAGAGACGTGCCCCCAGGGGAGTTGTATTTTCACCCTGACCTTGCAGCACTGGAGCCCAATCAGCACCCGTACCCTGTGCCTTACTCGAGTACCTTCCTGCGGCAGGCAAATTGTGCTCCTCATTTACAGAAGAGACTGAGCCAAACACAACTCCATATGTGGGGAGAGGCAACTTCCAGCCTCCAGATGTAAATCTATTCTGTCCTTTGTCACCCAGCCAGGCTGCACTCAGATCCGCTGGGGAGAGGGCTTGGCCCCATGCTGCTCTGCTGCAGCACTTGCTGTGCTGACCTTGAGTCCCCCTCTCAAGGCCTCCTTGCTGCCCCTGGCAGTGGATGAGTGCAGGGGAGAGCAGCCTCAATGAACTGGTTTAATTGGATCTCCAGGCCTGCAAGAGCAGGCAGTCTAGCTGTCTCTAGGGCGCCCGTGGGTGCCTGTGTCAGGCTCCAGTCCCCTGAGGCCCAGGGGCTGCTGTCCTTCCCAGGCATGGCTGGTGTGTGTGCTCTAGCAGGCACACCCTGTTGGGAGCCCTCCTAGTAGGATAAGGGCGTCCTGTGGTAGAGGAGGTTCATCCTGGGGGACACTCATCCCACAGCATGGGCTGCCACCTGTGTGCCACATCCAGCCCAATGGTCCTTCACTAGGCCCCCAGCCACTCTGCACAGAAGCCTAGCAGCACAGCAGGACAGGCCATGAGTGGTGTGTGTTTAGCCCCCTTGGGGATGTGGGCACCACTGCAGTGTGGACAGACCAAGCTCCAGGCTGAGGTCCCAGCCGGTGCAGGAACCCACAGCAGCAGGGAGGAATAAGTTTGAGACCCTTTGTGGCCACCACATCTGCGGCCCTCACAGGAAGGTGCTACAGGAGGCTGCTGAGGCCAAGCAAGATGGGCCTCGGCCTGGCTCAGAAAGTTCAGGTTCAGAAATCTCTGATGGGCTGTCATTGGGATGCTCCCCAGATGCCCAGAGCCAGCCAAGGCATGGCACCACAGGGATGGTCACCAGGGCTGGCATTCCATGGGGCCACCGCATCCCCAGACCAGGAAAGCCAGACAGCCTGACATGAAGTACTGGTGACCATGACTGAGCCTGTGTTTTCCCTGTGGTGCTGGCCTGGAGGAGGCCAGACCTGGATGGAAGTGGCTCCCACTGGGGGTGTGGCAGGGAGACAGGAGTCCAGGAAGGTACAGCTAAGACCAAAGAATTGTGGGAGTGTTAGGGAGAAGCTTCGGAGAGCACTGTGGGGAGGGCCTAGGTGCAAGCGCGCAGCCATGCCTGGTGTATGGCCCCAGTACCACAGAGCTATAGCCTGGATAGTGGTAGAGAGGCCTGGTCTCCCCCCAGGCAGTTTCCTTTCTGTCTTGCAGGCTGAAGAATGGAAGATCCAGAGGGTTAGCGCTTGGGGTCTCAGAGGAGCCCAGGGCAGAACACAGGAGAGAGGTGGCTGGACTCCTACTACATGGATGAGCCCTCCCAGTGTCTGCTGGGTTTCTGAAGTCTGGGACTTGGGGTGAAGGGGGCCAGGTGGCTGCAGAGATTGGGTCAGGCCTGCTCTCTGGAGGAAGGGTGTCCACAGCTCACAGATGGGATGACAGGGAGGAGGGCCTGAGGAGGCCAGAGCCTACAGGCAGCAGCCAAGGCCAGGTTGTCCACTCAGGCACCATGGCACAGAGCCTCCATCTTGGTAGAAGTGGGCACAGGCCAGTGCCACCTCCTGGGTGGGCACTTGGCATGGACAGCCAGGGAGCACACGCATTCACTGCTGTGACCACCTGGAGCCCCCCCCAAGACCGGGCACTGACAGATGGGCTTGCTTCCTCTTTTCTTCCCTCCTCCCTCGGTTGCTTTTCCTCAAATGATTTTGGAGCATGAGGTTTTCGGCACCAGCAGTAGTTTTCATGTATTGGAAATCATGCCGTGTCTGATCTGCTGCAGGCCGTTCTCATGTCTTCTGGATGGTGCAGTCTACTGTGGTCACAGACAGATGGCTGTCCACGTTGTGGGCCAGGGACGATGAGGAGAGACGTCAGGATGGATGCCCTGTAGAAGCCTCTGTGTCACCCAGATGGAGGGGCCAGGAACAGAGCCAAGTTTGGGAGAGGGCCATGGTGACAGCCTGGGGGTGTCCTCCCTCCACTGACGGCCACCACACTGGGGGCTACTCCTGGCCCTGCCAGAGTTGGCCATGAGCTGCCCTGGTACCCCAGCCTGGGAGCCGTCAGCAGTGGCTGTGAGTGGCCTGCAAGAATGAGTCCCAGCCACACCCCACGTGCGTGTTACATGTCAACCACTGTGCTGAGCGGTGCACACTCTGCAGACATATAGAGCCACGTTGGCCAGCGTGACCATCCCTTCCTGCTTGGTGGGGACATTGTGTGGTGGCTGTTGGGAGCCTCAAGGCTTGGGGCCAGCCTGCCGAGGGCCATGAGGCACTGGTGGCAAGGCGAGGCCATGCTGTACAGCCATGGGAGCATAATGGTGCGTAAAGGTGCTGTGGATGTACCAGGGGGCTGTATGTGGTGGCAGCATGGGTCACAGGAACCCAGGCAGGAAGGTTAGGTGGGCACAGACAAGGTCAAACTGGGACAGGTCCTACTTTGAGAGCTCCAGCCAGAGCACCAGTACCTGCTAGGGACCCTGCAACCCACGCTGCCTGGGAGAGCCAGCTTCCCCAGGGACAGAAAGCACTGACATGGCCAGCCTGTCCTGCACCGTGTGAGGTGGGTGTGGGGTGACTGCACTGTGAGCAGGGTCCAAGACTGCCCCAAGGACGGCAGTGTAGACGTTCAGTCCTGTCAACACCTCTCTGGGCTCCTGGCCATCAGTGTGCAGCCTGACCACGTGGTGTGCCAGAGGAGGGCCACTCTGGTAGACCCCAGCTAGGATGAATGTCACTGAGGTCTGTCCTCCCATTGCCAGGGGCCTGTTTGGCTTGGTTGGTGCCTGGAGCTTGGTGCCTGCCATGAGGCTACGGGGACCCCTGTCTTTTCCCCTCGTTACATGATGGCTGCCCTTGGCGCCGCTGACCTCCCTGCACAAGGCTTTGAAGAGAGCAGCCTCTCTGCGCTGAGCCCCCTGCTGCACCCCACTGAGTCTCCAGGCTCCCACAGTCTGCAAGGGCTGCTCCCATACAGGACATGGAGATGAGACCCGGGGAGCAGGGCCTGCAGTGGAGAGGGACTCCCAGAAACTGCCAAGGGCCTGGGCAAAGCAGCTGGTAAGCTGTGTATCCCTGCTGGCCCCTGGTGGGCCACAGGCACTCATTAAGGGCCTGCAGAGGAGTCTGGGGGGCGCCCAGAACCCCAACAAAAGTTGGCAGACAGGAACAATCCTGGGAAGCACCCATCCTTGCCCACCCCAGCCCCAGCAAGTGACAGCATATGTCATGTTCTTCAAAAACAGCTCCTTGTCCTGCCTGCTTGGACTCACAGGCACCCCGCTCCCCTGCGGCACCTGTAACCCCGTCTCCATCTGGTACTATCCCTGCTGCCTTGTGGAGAGCCTGGGGCAGAGCACAGCAAGGCCCCCGCCTGGCTTCTGGAACACTGCATCCTCAGCACACTCCCTCTGCCCCGTGTTCCGCTGCACTGGGACCCATGCTTGTCATGGGTCCACATGCCCCATCGCTTCTCCCTCCTTTTGCCACTGGCCTAGCAAGTGTGCCCTGCCAGGACACCCCACCCTGGTGCCTGCTCCTGGGTGCCACTGGGACTTCTGCAGGGCCTAGCCCCATCTTGGGTGTTTGTCCTTGTACCCCTGCTGAGGTCCAGCCAAGCAGATCCACGGTGGACTTGGTGCTGGTGGCCCAGGGGCTCTGCTTTCCAGGATCCTTCTGGAGTAAGGCTGTGTAGTTTGGTGGTCATAGGCCTCTGCAGTGGCACCCGGTGCAGACCTTGCCCTGCACACACTGTGTCCCCAAAGCCATTCCTCCTTAGTATCCTGTGTTCTATCAGGGTGTGGCCTCAGAGGCTGTCACCTGGTTCCAGTCGAAGAATGAGGTCTAAGCACAGGAAGAGGTGGTTAGGGAAGTTTTCACAGGAAATAAGCATAGCTCCTGGGTTTCCAGGAGGGATCTCAAGGGGGTGGCCACATGGCCCCTCCGTCCAGAGCTGCTGTTATTATAGATAGGGAGAGCACAGGAATCACTCAGTTGTCTAGTAGCCACCTGTGACAGGTGGCTCTGTGGATTCAAAATGACCAGTTTTGTGTTTTGTTTTGTTTTTTGTTTTTTGAGACAGGGTCTCACTATGTAGTTGAGACTGACCTGGAACTCACTATGTAGTCTTGATCACTATGTAGTTCATAGTGATCCTCCTGCCTCAGCCTCCCAAGTGCTGGGATTGCAGGTGTGCACCACCACACCCGACTGACCAGTTTTTATTGACTGACTCTCTAACCCTGATCTTCAATGTGTGGGTTCAAAGGAAACAGATTTTAGAAGAAAAAAAACTGGTTATTTTGAATTTTAAATTCCTCAGAACTGCTGGATATGGTGGCATACACCTGTAATCCCAGCACTCGGGAGGCTGAGGCAGGAGGATCACTGAGTTCTAGACCAGCCTGAACTACATAGTGTGATCCTATCTCAAAAAAAATTTTCCTGTCTCTTGTTACCTTTGCTGCCTTGTGTGTGCCATGTTTCTGCTCTGCCATGCCTGTTTGTCGTCCTTGCCTTGGAATTGGCTGATTATGGACTAAAGCCTCTACAAACTATCCAGAAATTTTTGGAGAGTTATGTCACAGATAATGAAAAAAATGACATCTACTCCAGAGACCCTGTTAGAAGAAATAGAAGCTAAAAGTAGAGAATTAATAGCTAAGAAGAGAACCCCACTTTTGAGCTTCCTGAAAAACAAGCAGAGAATGAGAAGAGAAAAGGGAAGAAATTAGGCGAGAAATAGAAAAGGCAAAGAGAAGAAGAGAGAAGGAAATGGAAGGAAGAAGAGAAACATAAAAGAAAAGACATAGAAAAGCGGAAGAAGATAGAGCTCTAGAAGGGGACACATTAAAGGGTGAACCAGAGATTAAGCTGCTCAAGAAACCGGAAAAAGGAGATGAAAAAGAATTTGAGAAAAGAGAAAAAAACGAGAGACTGGACAAAGAGAATCTGAATGGCGAAAGAGCCAGTGGCAGAGTTGCACACTGCCCGGGCGTACTGACGGCGAGCTCAGAGTAAGAGCGTCGGAGAAGCAGGGACTGCCCAACCGGTCAGCTCTGCCAACCCGGAGCTCAAACGCCAAAATCACTGTGTAGCCCTGCTGACAGCACCTGGTCTGGAGAAAAAGGCAGGAAAGTGATGAGCCGTAGAAAAGGAGGAGGAGAGGAGTGACAGATTAGAATGGCTGTAGGTGTCCTGGTTGTACTAGGAGCTCCAGAAGGGCCTTCAGGGCACAGGGACAGAGAAAGACAAAGGGTCGCTGTGCCGGAGGGTGACACTGCAGAGGAGTATGTTTTGCGTCAAGGCAGGAATTTAATTGCAGGCTCAGAATTGGAAGTACAATTTAAATGTTTTTGTAATTTCTCCAGATTAATTTTACATTGTCAGAAAAAGATGATTGCGAGGATATGCACTGCCATTTGCCGGCAGGAAATGTCAAATGAAGACTTAATTTTGTATGACAGGAAAAAAAAAGCTGGCTGTAAAATCAAAAAGTGTTATTAATCCTGGATTGAGCATCTTGGTTTGGGTGGAGCAGAGTCACTTTGAAGTCTTGTTCAGATCTAGTTATTTTGCATCTAGTTATTTTGATGACGGTTGACTTTGTGTAGTGTAGAAGCAATAAGCATGTAATTTTGGTACAAGTATAGTGAAAAGTATAACAAATTTTCACTGATGCAGAAATTTAAATAGTCATGTTATGTCTATATCCTGTGTCCCAAAATTTTAGGATTAGTTTTATCCTTTTGTTTGCTTACATGAGCTTAGCATCAATAATATTTTTAAACTGCTCATTTTGCCTTTAGCATTTTTTCTACTAATAGGTAAAATGTAGTCCCTGTTTGCTTCTTGACCGTCCAGTCTTTGTTTTTGTGTTAGGTCTCATGATCGGAGATGAGTGCATACTCTCTCCAGGAAGGAAACTGCACCGACATCTGTCTTAACTTGTTTTGTATCGTTGTCAGTAAACACCAACAGCACTGAAAAAAGAAAAGTTCCTCAGAACTCAGGAGCTCAGTAGAGAGGGGCTACTTCCCCTGTTGCCTGTGGAAATTCATCCTGGCTCTGAAGTCCTCATTCACTCTGTTCTTGTTTCAGTTGCATCAGCATAGCTGGTCACCCAGTTCTCTCGGGCCCTGCTCAGAGCTGTCTCACTCGAATGCTAACTGAAGGTTTTTACATGTCCTTCCCTTGAAGAAGTACCCCTACCTGCTATTAGGGGAGAAGAGTGAAAACTGAGGAGTTGAGAAGACTTGATGTAGGGGAGATAGCTGCCGGGTGTTTCGGACCTGTCCCCAGCATGTCCTCACTGCAGTCTGTTTTGTGTCTAAGCCATGGTGCCCAGCTAGGCAGTTGGTGTCCCAAGGAGGGTCAAGGCCCCCGCTACCCTCCCTGTGCTCACTGCCCTGAGCCATGGCCTTTGGGGGCAGTGGAGGGGACAAGGGGCCCTCTAGACACAGTCCCCAGCCCTTGGCTGTCACCGCAGTGTGTTCAAGGAATAATCAGCCCATGGCAGAGGCGGGTGCATGCCTCTGTGCAGGCACGACAGGCAGCGCTTGTGGGAGGCGAGCAAGGCCCTCGGAAGCCAGCCAGGCCACTCTCCCTTCCCTTCCCTTGTGCTGTGCCGCTGTGCCCCTGGCTGTCCTCAGCCTCCCTGCTGCACTTGTCACCTGAAGCTGTCTCCCTCCCTGTGAGTCTTTTGTACCTAGGGTTCCTGCTCCAGACTCTGTGGGGCTGCAGTGAGGCTCATCAAGCCAGGTGCTGATGCCCATCCTGGCACACAGGGTGATCCTATTGAGAGCTTTTGGTCCCTGGGGTACTGGCAGCTGGGTCTTGGTGTACACAGGAACACAGAGCAGTCTGACACTCCCCACTGAGGGGGAGGTGGAGTATGGGGCATCTGCCAAAATGGGCCACACAGGTTGGTGTGACAGGCCTAGGTTGGGTGCTGTGCTCCTTGGTGTGTGGACTAGCAGGGCCCTCCAAGAGAGCCCACCCATCCTGGAGCTTGGCTAAGTCGTGGGGTACATGTGATTACCTTAGGGGTGCAGAGCTGTCTGAGAGGTCACTGTGAGTGAGCACCCACCCCTTCCCACAGCCTTTCAGGGCAGGGAGAGCAGGACGCTTCCACCTGGCCTCAGCCCCCCACCCTGGCTTCTGGACTATGGCCCAGCCAAGCAGCAGGCAGTCCCTGTCTACAAGGCACAGGGACCCGGGAGCCAGTGTGTCCTGACCCTGCCACACCCTTGTCTTATCACAGGACCGACCAGCCGGGCATGTTCACACACAAGGAGTTTGAGCAGCTGGCCCCAGTGCTGGATGGCTTCAGCCTCATGACCTACGACTACTCCACGTCACAGCAGTGAGTGAGCCTGGGAAGAGGGCCCTGCAGGCTGCAGGTCCACACCCTGGCCTCTGGGCAGACAGCCCTGCCCAAGGCTCTGTGGCTTTGTGCAGTGTCACTTCCTCTGGCCTGTGCCCAGGAAAGGGGGTCCTGTGGGACCCTGACTGGGGTAGCACTGCGTTGAGGGGGTCCACGCACAGCCTTGCTGTCACCTCATCAGTCCTGAGCCACCCTGCTGCCAAGGAGCACGGGAAGCAGATGCAGCCGGCATCTGTCAGGAAGGATAGGAGGCCATGTGTCTGCTGGCTGCTCCACACCTGCATGTGTCCCAGATGCCTGCCTGCCAGTCTGGGGTGGGGAGGCTGTACACCGTGCAGGTGGTGCTGTGGTCCCAGAAGAAGGTGCTAGGCTGCTTTGTGGATGGCCTCGAGGGAAGGTCATTCACTCCCAGTTCTCCCCAAGTCATAAGAGGTGTCAGTCACAGCACAGGAGGAATGTACCCCAGGTCGCTGTCCATGGAACTGACCTGCTTGCTGCCGAAACCCATTGTCCTCCAGGCCTGGCCCCAATGCACCACTGTCGTGGGTTCACGCCTGTGTCCAGGTCCTGGACCCCAAGTCCAGGTGGCGGAGCAAGATTTTCCTGGGACTGAACTTCTACGGCATGGACTATGCGGCCTCCAAGGATGCCCGTGAGCCTGTCATCGGAGCCAGGTGCGCCCAGGGCCCTCCCACGGTGCTTTAGTGTCACTCCCCCAGAGAAGGCGAAGCACTGGGCTGGGGAGGGCAGGGCTCGTGGGCTCATGGGCTTGGGGGTGGAGATGTGTGGCCGGGGCGCCTCAGTCTCAGCTCGGGGAACCCACACTCCCCACAATGCTGGCACAATAGCCCAGGGCTGCAACCAGTGCTGTCCCTGAGCAGAGGCACTGTGTGGGTTCTAGGAGTGCTGAGAGCTGGACAGGTGTGGCTGCTGGGCTTGAGTGTGGCCAACTGGCATTTCCTTCAAGTGCCAGCCTCCTGCAGCTGTGCCCAGCCAAGACTTGCTCCTACCTCGAGTCGTGACCTCTCGGGGTCTCCTGTGCTGCACCTCGCCGTGCGTTTCTGCTCCTGTGACTGCACCTGACTGTGCTCTGCTGCAGCAGAGGCCGCAGTTTCCACTTGTTCCCTGTGTGTGTCCCTGTGGCCCCGCCGCTGCCAGGCTCAGGACTGGTCGCTGGAGTGTGGTTCTATTGCGCCCTGAGCTTGGATACACACGTGCACACTTTTTATCCGAGGAGAAGGCTGTGGGTAGGTTCCGCAGCTGTCTCCACCTGCCCTCCCTCTGCCACAGCTCCCAGAATACTTTCAAGTTTTGTGTTTCACTGTGGTTGCTGTTTTTGATGCTCACTATTTCTTCTGCTGGTCCGCTGTGCCACTAATCTGACCAGTGCTCTTTCATCTCACCAGTAGTGGGTCTCACGTCTCAAGCTTTGTTTGGGTTTTGTTTATGTCTTCCACGTCTCTGCTGAACCCTTGCACTGTGGGATTCCATGGCTCACTGTCCACATCTGTCAGTGCCGAGTCCCGAGTCCACTCTGGGCCGTCCCATGGTGTCTGGGCCTGTGTGGCACCCCTGTGAGCCCAGTGCTCTAAGATCCCCTGCCACACTTCTTGTGGGTTTTACCCTGGGAACACTGGCTATGTTACATCCCAGCAAACCTCCCAGCTTCAGTGAAGTCACCTACAAGTGTGAGAGCTGCCGACCTTCCTGCGGTCCTTTCCTGGACCGAGGCGGGGTGCCCTGCTCTGGGATTCTCTGCAGGTCCCCTGGGGCCAGTGAGCAGAGGCTGGGCTGTCTGCTTTGTGCTGAAGGCCAGTGTTCTGGGGGTGGCGGGGAGCTGATTCCATGGCCCTTGGCTGGACCTGTGGTTCTGTGGAGGTGGCAGTCATCAAGGGAGTTGGGGTGCTTCTCTCCATTGACCCTGGTTCTTCCCTCTCCGAGGGTGCTCATCAGGGCCGCCCCTCACTAGGCCACCCCACTGTTGGGCCCTCTGTCAGTGCGGTCAGGTTAGGCTGTGCTCCTAGCCATGTGGGGAGTGGTAGTCCCACCCCTCTGTATCCACATGGCTGGTTCTGGGGTCTGGGCTCCTGCAGAGGCCTGGGCTGACCAGCTTCTCCTGGATTCTGGCTCTGGGCTCAGCTGTGCAGACAGGATAGGGCAGGGCCTGGCTGAGAAGTGTGGGCAGGGAGTAGTATGGTGGCCTGGAGCTTTAGTGGGTCAGAGGCCAGCCGTGGGTGAGCCTGTGTGGTGAGCTTGGAGATTAGGGGCAACATGAGGTCCCCTTGGGGACAAGCTGGTGTTGGGAGGGGACACGGGTCCTGGCTGTGGTGCTGACTGCTGTGTCTCTACTGTAGGTGTGGGGTGCTTGGTACTTGGCCTCCCAGCCCCTCTCCATCTGTTCGAGCCATCACTGCCTTGTGTTATGGGTACTGTGCCCCTTTACAGTGTCGGCCCTCCTCTGACCCTGGCACTCCTAGGGAGGCTCTGGAAGCCTTGCTGGCATTTCTTGTGACCTCTCCCACACCACACAGGGGTATGGTGCCGGGCTCCAAAGCCCTGGGTGAGGCAGCATGCAGCACTGGTGCCCTGCATGATATAGAAGGAAGAGAAGTGACTCCCACAGCTGCTAGATACAAAGTACGAGTTCATGTTCTCTAGAAATGCTAGGAACAATGGAGGTTAAGAGTAGGAAAAAATTATTGAGAGAAAGATAGCTTCTGTCTAATAAAGACAGCAAGGGGACCAAAAAGTAGGTTACCCACCAACCCTGCTTCTCAAAGGTGTTTTATGAGACAAGGCCATGAGGCTTTTCAAGGTGGGAAAAAATTATAGTCAGTGAGATTACAAGTACAGTTGCTTAAGGAATACTGATCCAATGAGAAATCACAAGGTGGGCAAAACTATGATCAACCAATAAGATTACAAGTATAGTCACTTAGGTAATGGTAATTAAATGGGGATCCAATGGGGAAGCAAGTCACATAGCAAGCGTACAAGCAGTGAGCAAGGACTTTCGGTAAGGGGTGGGTCAGAGATCTTTCACTTAACCTATCTATGATGCCACACAGACCCCAGCACCCCAGGAAGCCTGGCCAGCAGGAGCTGGAGGAGCTTTCCCTGGCTGCAGAGGGAGGTTTGCCAGCCCTGGCTGGGCTCCAAAAGGGAGCTGAGGTTGGCCTGGGGCTGCCGCACGTCTCCACCCTGCTGCCACTGGGTCTGAGTCTGAAGGCTGAGGCCAAGCTGTTGTAAGGCCGTTTCCTCCGGAGCTCTTCCTTGGCTCGCAGATGTCTTCTGCATCCTCGAGGTCTTCTGTATGTGTCTCAGTCTCCTTCACTCTGTGTTTTGCTAGATTCAAACCTAGGCCATTGCTGTGCTGAGCCTGTGCCCTTTCCTGTGGCACCATAGCCTGACAGGAGGATGGTCTCTTTCCTGATGCCTCATTTTAACTTGCTCACCTCTGTAGAGATTGCTTTGCCAACTGTAGACATCCCAAGGTGCTGGGGATTAGGCCTCCCTCCTACAATTTGGGGACATGCTAGGGGTGTGCAGGGAGATGGCAGCAGGATCCAGAGGACTTGCTGCCACCTCCTCCACCCCTGCCTGGGCTGGAAATACAGGCGCCCAGCCCAATCAGATCTCACAAGGCATCAGTGGCCTCTGGATGGCCAGAGTACCACCCTCGATTGTTCTGCAAGGGCCTGGGAGCCTGGGCTCAGGAATTCTGATTAGGAAGGTACATGTGCCAGTGTGGAGCCAGCAAAAATCTGTGCACAAATTTGTGTCCCTCTGTGCACACAGCCACATAGACACTGCCCTCAGGCCTCATGATCTTGCTGGGGCTGGGATTCTGGGCTTCCCCACAGGGAGAGGTGGCACTGCCCCTCCTGCCCAGCTTCCTCCCTGTCTAAAGTGCCCCTCACCTGGCTCCTGGGCTTGTGTGGTACAGGGAGCAGCGTGGGTGCTAGGCAAGCCTGGACAGGTGGTGGCTCCTCAGCCTGGCCTTCCTGGGGCTGGGCAGCAGCATGAGTGCGCACTGTGCAGGGCTCCCCCTGTGAGGATTGAGATTGTGTGTCTGTCCTCGGGCCCCTGTTCGAATGACAACAGGCCCTTCCATGTGGACCAGCCCCCCATGCCGTCCCCTCTGGCTCCTGTGGTCTTGCCCCAGCCAGGTCATTACCCTTCAGAGACAGGGCTGGATGGGCCTCCTGTTTGGATGCTCTGTGGGGTCCCAGAGCTAGAGTCTGTTGTTCCCCATTTGTCCTTGAGGCTCATCTGTCCTCATACCAAAGCCTGCTCATCTCAGCCAGGTGACCAGAGTGACCTGTGGCAGCTCTTCCCCAAGCTCTGATTCCACCTTCTGCTGTTGGCCCCAGGTTCCTGTCACTCACTGCCCTGTCACTACCCTGTGATAGAATAGGGAGCCCACCCTACGACCCTTGCCCGGAGGGCTCCAAAAGGTTCTAAGGTCACCCTCAGGGTTCAGAGGTCATTCACACGTGAAGCTGTGTCAGGCCTGAGAGAGCACTGTTCCCGGGCGGCTTGGGGAGGCGGCCCTGCAATCAGTCTTTCCCCCAACCAGCGCCCACACAGCACTGCCGGCCTCACACCCCTCATGTGCACTGGGGGGGGTCCCAGAGAGGCCACCCGCTGCGCACTGGGGGCACCTGAGGAACCTGAGTAGTTGCTGTCTGCATAGGCCCTAACCCAGCAGGAGGCCTGGCAGGGCTCACTAGGCCCCTCGGACTTTCGGCAGCCCCAGCTCCAACTGAGGCAGCTTCTTGTGCATTTGCTGCCAGCCTATGTTGGGGGACTTAGGCACTGGATCTGGTGACACAGGCTGCTGGGTGTGCTGTCACCTGGAGGCTTTGCTTGGTGTTGTCTCCAGCAGTAGGTGGGCACCAAGCCCTCACACCCATGTTGCCCTCAGCCTGGCCTTAGTGCTGCCAGGCCTGTCCCTGCCCCTTCCTCCCAAGTTTCTGTCAACCTCTTTCACCCAAAATCCAATTTCTCCAGGCTGGGTGTGAAGGGCACCTGGGGTCATGGGTCGTGGCCTCTGCCTTAGAACCAAATCCCATTGTAGGAGACACATTCTGCCCCATCAGCAGAGGTGCGGGACACTTGGCTGAGCAGAATTTGGCCCCCGTGTGCCCAGCCAGGCATCATGGGCACCTTGGCTGATGGCTGCTCCCACACAGGTGAAGCCAGATGTAGGCGCAGGAGCCTCATGTACCAGGGCTGTCTCTGGCCCTTTTGGAACACAGTTGTCACCAGAGCAGGCTGCCATCCCATCAGCCTCCAGCTCTGGGCCATCTGTGGGCCTCTGCCAGCCTGGCCAGCCATCTGCCTGGGGTAGATGTGGGGGTGTGGTCTGCAGAGTGGTACCCATTGGGGATGGTCTGGAGACTCTAGGGGGAGCCCTGGTGGCCTGGTCATTCCCTTCCTTTAGAGCAGCCTGGGCAGTGGACACCCAGTTCAGCTCCAGCAGCAGCCAGGTCTCCACCACCACGCAGGCCCAGGTGTTGATCAGGTTCCCCACTCCAAGGGCTACCCTGGTGAGTCAAGCTGCCCCCCAGTGCCCACTGGCACTGCCCGGCCTTAGCCAGGCCCAGGTGGGAGGCAGGGGCAGCAGGCAGAGCTGAGTTTGTCCTGGCCTGTGAGGCCTGTGCTGCCCCTCCGGGAGCCTGACTCTTGGTGGTGGCTGAGCCCCTCAGGCCTCCCAGGGCCTACAGGAAGACCCAGACCCAGGCCTTGGCTTCTGAGGCACCTGGGGCTCAGTATTCCAGGGTGAAAGACAGAGGTCTGAATGGCCACACCCCATCTCCCAAGGAACCAGCCCTTCCAGGCGTCTGTCGCACAGCTTCACCCTTGGGCTTGCCAGCCCTCTGTCAGAGCCTTGCATCCTGGCTTCCTCCAAAGCCACTTAGTGAACACTGAATGGGGAGCTGCTGTGTGACCTAGTGATTTGAGGGGATCCAAATGGGCATATGCTTCCTTCGGGAGCAGATTGCAAGTCCCTGATGTTTCACAGGGCCAGGCCTGGAAGGGCTTCCCACAGGGACCAGTGAGACAGAAAGGCTTGATCCTGAACAGAAGAGCCCATAGGCCTGGTGCAGTGGCTCTCGGGGTGCTGCCAGGGGCTTGGAGGGGCAAGTCCCACATCATTCCTCCAGTGCCACTGTCCACTTGAGCAGCAGGCGCCTGGAGCAAGTCCATGGGCTGTCCTGCCATCTCCATGTGCCTCGAGTCCCACTGGGTCTGGGAGGGCTGAAGCCTGCAGTTGCCCCAGCTCACAGCCACCTTGGGTTGGCACTGCTGGGCACAATAACAGCTGACCATGCCCCAGGATAGGGGCCTCTGTCTGCCCAGCTCAGAATGCAGCCTCACATGGCTGGGCACCTCAGGTCAGGAGACACACATGTACCACCCATCCCAGATGCCTGTGCCATGTCACCCAAGTGCTGTTCTCCAGGGTGGCCTCTGGTCCTGTCCTCAGGACCCAGCAGGAGCTGCACAGAAATGAGGGGCTGCCAGAATCATCTGCCTGTGGTGCCACGGGCACAGCCTCACAGGCCACCTGCCCTGGTCTCCAGTGTGCCATGCCCTTGTGTCTTCTTCAAGCTTCTTGTGTCCAGGCCTGGACTCATCCTCAGATCAGGCAGAAGGTGTCCCTGAACCCTGGGCCCCTGGTGCCCAGAAAGGACCTGCTGGGCTCTGGACATGGGGTGGACTTGACTCTAGGGGCCTGCTGACTGCTCCCCCTGCCTGCTGTCTCCTTCCTGGGCCTACAGCTGGGTGGGGAGCCCACTGCTCTGGGCAGTGTTTAGGACACGAGTCAGTTCTACACAGCAAGTGGTGAAAGGTCTCCGTGACTAGTGAGGGGCCCTTGTAGAGCCTGGTGCAGCAGGGCCTGGGTGTCACCTTCCTTTTTCAGCACAGGGCAGTGGCTCCTCAACCTGTGGGCCCTGTAACCTCCCTCTGTGACAGCCACATGGGCAGGTAAGGGTGGCTATGGGGTGCGGCCAGCTTCCCATCCACACCCTGGCCTCTCCAGGTACATCCAGATGCTGAAGGACCACAGGCCGCGCATGGTGTGGGATGGCCAGGCTGCAGAGCACTTCTTCGAATACAAGAAGTGAGTGGGGTGTGTACCACCTCCAGTGTGTGCAGGAGCCTGGGTGGGCTGAGCAGGGCCGGAGCCAGAGGTGGACAGTCCCTCTTGTACTGCAGGAGCCGTGGCGGGAGGCACCTGGTCTTCTACCCAACTCTGAAGGTAGTACCCTGCATGGTGGCCAGAGGAGGGCTGGGGGTGTGGTTTGGATTCGAAGCAGCAGCCCTGCCCTGCAGCGACCCTGGCCCCTGCGTGGGAGTCGGCAGCTGCTAGAGGACTTAGTTCCTAGGGCACGAGGGACTCGAGGGCTGGGCAGTTCCCAGGATGGGAGGGGGGCTGGGCAGGTGCCCATGTGTATGTCGGTGCTCAAAGTCCCTGCAGGTACGACTGGAACTGGCCAAGGAGCTGGGCATCGGGGTCTCCATCTGGGAACTGGGCCAGGGTCTGGACTACTTCTACGACCTCCTCTAGACTGCAACCCCAAGCAGACACAAACTGTTCGTAGCCATGGAATGACCATGTGAAATACAGACCTCATTCTTTGTGCTGCAATGTCTGCCGTGGTCCTGGGAATCCCTTCTCATGTAGGGGGTGCCAGCCCTACCAATGGACCCTCACTGCCACCTGCTACTCGCCAAGGGGACAGCCTGGCCCAGTCTCACCTGGTTCAGAGCTTGAGATTGAGCTTGAGTCCCAGACTCTTCCACATCTGGGCTACAGGAGCCACCCCCATACCAACCCCTCCCCCAAGTCCTGGACCACACATAACTGCTCTCTGTGGCAGTGTAGATGTAGGGAGGGCAGTGGAGGACCCATGGGCAGTGTCTAGGATGGGTGTCATAACCAGGACCAGGTACCAGGGGCTGTGACCATCCCAGCTCCAGCCAAGGGCCACTCGGGGTTGTCCACCATCTGCTTCCCCCTCCCCACTGTCCCTAGGGTCCGGAACCCCAGCTGGCCATGGGAGCCCTCTCCCACTCTGGCAGCCAGTCCCTAGTCCCTCTGACCTGAGTGGGTAGATCTGTCTGTCCACAAGCCAGACACCCTGACCAGGACCCTGCCTTGTGAATTCCTGTCCCCCACACTGAAGCTGTGGACCTGAGGTCCTGAGGGCTCAGATCGGGGACTGGCCCCACTTTGGGACAAGCAGAGCTTGAGGTGGCAGCTGGTCTCACTTCGGCTCCAGTCAGACCACCACTGGCTGCATCCTGCCTTGACTGCATCCTAGGATGGTGGCTCGGCACCATGGGGGACAGGCTGTATCCACCAAGGCCTGGGCTGTCCCATACTTCAAGTTCTGGGAAGAGGTGAGGTAGGCTGGGGCAGACAGGAGGAGCCATTGTGGGGACAGCACCACAGCCCCACCTTCCCTGGTCAAGTAGGCATGGTCAAGCTGGACACAGCTCAGCCCCACACCGGCCTCCAGTGAGCCTGGATCACCCCAACCCACATGTGCATGGCAGATGTCAGAAGTGGCTCCCAACCAACCCTACGAGCAGCAAGTGGCCAAGCGGTATGGCCAGGGACTGTCCCAGTTGGGGTCCTTGGGTTGGGTAGAGGCTGCCCCCGGGTTCTGGTTCTGAGCCAGCAGTTGGGTGTAGAGGTACTGAGAGCTGGACAGCATGGTCAGTCTGAGGGGCCAGTGGCTCAAGAGCCACACCCTGACCAGTGCCATGGGTGTTAGGGGATGCTGCACAGTAGAGGTGAGACAGAGGACCTCAGAAGGGGCTGAGTGGGCAGAAAGCCACAGTAGCTTTGTTGCCAGGACCTTGCTCTCATGTGGCTCGGCCGGCTCAAGCTGTGTGGACCACTGACTCAATGTTTTCATGGGTTGAGGACATGGGACAGCAGTTGGTGCCCAGCACCAGGGTCTAGGTCAGTGCCCTGGGAAGCTGTGTCCCAAGCCAAAGGGTGGAACCCCCAGAGATTGCAATGGAGGCAGTGTGCAGTTTGGAGACCAGATGCCCCACAGCTCCACAATTGTACCTTGACCTCAGCCCCCATCACGAGGTGACTGTCCCAAGGTGGCTTGAGAGACATGGACCTTTTGTTAACTCTGGCCCATGCCAAGGGCACTGTTTCTGATGCCCCTGGGTTTATCAAGTCCACACAGACTAAGGAAAGGGCTGGGAGTGCTCCAGAGGGCACAAGAAGCGGGCAGGGCAGGTGCCACAGGCCCCACCACATGCACGAAGTCAAGGGGCAGCCTGCGCACAGCCCACAAGTGCTGCTCACGCTCTTTATTAAATACACCTGGAGCCGTGGTTCAGCATGGAATGTGATGCTGGGGCCCAACCCAGAGCACCAGGGCCAGTGGGCTCCAGGCAGCGAGTCTGAGCTCTTCCACCCCAGCTGAGCCTCACTGAGGTGCCAGCACCTCCCATGCCCAACAGAGCACCGAATCCTGGTGGGAGTGGCGGGAGTGGCGGGCGTGGCTGTGGCCGTGTCCACATGGCAGTGTCCTTTGGCAGAGAAGCAGGCTGGCCGATGGCCTAGGCGCAGTAGGTGTCTGCCTTCACCACTTGGCAGTACATGGTCATGGCAAAGGTCAGGCCCAGAATCTGTGGGGACAGGAAGGGCTGGGCAGGGCTGCTTCAGGGTACCCCTGGGTGTCCACCACCCTGCCTAGCCGGCCATGCCCGCCTGGCCCAGCTGTGACCACCTCAGTTCGGTAGGACTGATGTGCTCTCGGTCTGGAGCCTTCCTGGTGGTGGGTGTGCACTAAGGCCAGGCTGACCCCGACTCCTGAGACCCCAGGCAGCCAGCCTGGGCCTTCTGGAGGGCACAGGGGCTCTGTACCTGGAGACACTGGAAGCCACTTCTGTCCAGGACTCACTCCTCTGAACCTGTGCTTACCCCATCCCCTTACAAGGGTGTGTATGTGCCTGGCCCCACACACCTGCACCAGTGCTGTGCACAGCCCGAAGACACCCACGGCCAGCAGGTTCTCCTGGAGCCAGGCCTTCACCGTCTCATAGCAGGGCTGTGGGAAAGTGGGGTCAATGGCAGTCCTGGCCCCCACAAAACCCTCTCCCTGGGTTGTACTTACCGCCTTCCACCATGTGCCGGGCGCATGCAGCCCGCATCTGTCACTGAATTCCAGACAACAGGAGTCAGGTACGCGTGTGGCATTGTACACCTCAAACCAGTCCGTGTAGTTGGAGACGCCACAGCAGCGGAACTGAGGAGAGGAGGGTTGGCTGAGGCGCGCAAGAGCAGGGGCAGCCACTATCCCACCCCAAAGCAACCGCCTGCCTCACGTCAGTCTGGATGATGCTCCAGGCATTGGTGAGCCCCACGTTGCCCGGCGTGCCATACAGGTGCAGGCCCTTCTTCAGGTCTTCCTGAGCGTACCTGTCGATCTAGGGGGGCAGAGTCATCAGCGATGCAGGCGGATGCTCCCACACACACTCCCTTCCCGCTTTCCAGTCAGTCCTGGCCAGCACCCATCACTAAGGGACACTGCCCAGGCCTCCCGCACTCCCAGAAACCCCCAAAGCCTGGGGCAGCCTCACAGGCTGGGGGGCCCTGGAACCTGAAGTGCAGGTCACGGGTCGAGCAGATTCTTTGTACCCATCTGTGAGTACAAACAGGCCTGCCCCTGCCCTGTAGATCTGGGCCTGCAGACTCCCCAGGAAGGAGCCAGCGAAGCAGTCCGCTCCAGGGCCAGGCAAGACCGCAGATGCCCGGAGCAGCCCGCCACACTCTAGGCAGGGAAGGGTCTGCGGAAGCTCCTGCGGCAGGATGTGGCAGAGCTGGGTGGCCAGATAAGGAGGGTGGGTGGCACTGGGGCAGAGACTGCCCCAAAGTCTGCCCTCAGATGCAGCTCCCACTTAGAGGGAGCACTAAGCCATCAAGGTTCGGCTCTCAGCGGCGGCTGTCCATCTCCCCATCCCCTCAAGCCACGCACTTGGCCCATACCCTGTCAGTGTAGGCAAAGAAGAACACAGCGATGGTGGCCTCCAGCAAGAGCACCAGCAGCAGCATCACAAAGAACTGTGGAAGGTGGAGACGGGCTCAGGGACGGCCCAGTGCCCGCCTCTGGGTGAGGGGTCCCACCCACCCCCAACTCCCCACATCCCGCAGCAACCAACTGGACTCAGGCACCCCCAGCGCGGAGCCCTCAGCACTCACAGTGAGCAACAGGCACTTGTTCTCCTTGAGGGCCCCGATGCAGCCCACGAAGCCAATGGCCATGACGAAGGTGCCGGTGACAATGAGCAGGTTGGCAGCCGACAGGGATGGGAAGGAGGACGACAGGGTGGCAAAGTTCCCCTGGGTGGCGGCCAGCCAGATGCCAACGCCCAGGACACCACAGCCTCCCAGCTGGACAGCGGCACCAGTGGGGAAACGGGGAGAGGGACAGGGTGAGGTGCCCCACAGGCCCGATGGAGAGGCTGCCGTGCCTCTCTGCATTCGGGACACAGCCTGGCCAGGGCAGGCCGTGGCAGCTGTCCCAGGCTTGCTGGTTGGCTGGGAGCCCACACCAGGTTCTATGCACAAGCCAGGTTGGCAGGAGCCCGCAGAGCGCTGGGGACCCAGCCCTGTCCAAGGCAGGTTGGCCACAGGGTGCCTTCCCTGGCATCTCAGCCCCTCTGAGCAGCCTGCACTCCATCCCTGCCCATCATCCCTGGTGGGTAGGATTCTCTGCCCCATGCTTCTACTGCAAGCCAGCACCTGTGCTTGAGGTTTAGACAGAAAGCACTGCTGGATGCTGCTGGCTCAGGGCCCCCTGCAGCTGCCAAGTCCCGCCCAAGGCTGTTCTTAGGGCTTGCAGGACCCTCCCTCTTGCAGCGTGGGCACCAAGCTGGCTGGTGTGCCCTGGCTGTGACCCTGTTTTCAGGCTCCCACCTGGAGAAGCTTCATGGGGCTGGCAGGAGGCTTTGGCATACCCAGTCAGGTCTGGCTACAGGTAGGACACTGAGGTTTGCCCCAGGAGAGGGTCACTTGTGTCCAGCGTGCCACAGTGCTAGGTGACATCCTCACTTCAGGGTTTGTCCCCGCAGCCCTGAGGTTAGCATGGGTCTGCCGGCTCCACAGAGACCCCCTTACCAGGACCAGCCCTGCCCTAGGGCTGACTCTCATGGAGCATCTACAGGGACAATGCTGAGCAGGTGGGCAGCTGGAGGCAGGTGCCCCCTCCTGGTGTTCAGGGAGGCACAGGAGAGCCTGGCCAGGGGCTGGCTCAATCCACAACCATCCTGCCTACAGGCCACAGGCTGGGGTGGTCCAGGTCCTCAGAGTGCCACCCACTCCTGGGCCAGCTCAGGGCACCAGCTGCTCTGCATAGCGGTACCAGGCAGAGCCATACTCAACTGCCCAGCTGCCACCAAAGTCAGAATCCCCAGGCTCAGGAGGAAGAAGGGCAGGCAGGGGACCCTGTCCCCCCAACACCTGCACACAGGAAGGCTGGATGTCACAGGGTCTCAGGCAGCCCTGGCCAACGCTGTCCCCATCCCATTACATGTGAGAGCCACACCTCAGGGTGGAGCCCCAGACCTATGGTCCAGCAGAGGGAAGATAACCATTTAAAACCCAAAATAAGCCAGACATGGTGGTGCACGCCTGTAATCCCAGCACTTGGGAGGCTGAGCAGGAGGATCACTGTGAGTTTGAGACCAGCTTGGGCTACACAGTGAGTTCCAGGTCAGTCTCAACTACATAGTGAGACCCTGTCTCAAAAAAACAAAACAAAACAAAGAAACCCACAATGCCCGCACTGTCTGGCTCTGCCTTCCAAGGACAGCTGGTGGCTCTGTCAGCAGAGCCCCACTGTTGCGCCCCTGGCCCTGTGGGACTCAGAGGGTACGTGGAGGACACTGCTGTGCAGAGCAGCAGGCACCTAGGGGTGGGGGACTGTTCCAGGCAGACGTAAAGGGGAAGGGGTCCCCAAGTCAGCCCTGTTGGGAAGGACACCCTGCCCACCCACCACTGCCACCTGATGGCTGTCACCACCACAGTGTGGCAGACAACACCAGCCACAGCCTCCGGGGCACCTCACTGTGCTCACTCACAGTGTCACATGCCAGGTGAACCCTGCCCCACAGCCTGCCGTCTCTGCCCCTACAGCACACCCTCCAGCACCTTAGTGAAATGCACGCTCCCAGGGAGTAAAATCCCTGTGCCTGTAAGAGCAGCTTTTAAAACATTTTGGCAGGAAAATTACAGCCTCAAAGGACAAGAGAAAATGGACTCGTTAGACTCAGACCCTCAGGCCGACTCTACAGGCTGGAGAGCTGCATCTGTCCCAGATCAAATGTGGGAGCCCAACCCCAACCTTCTCACACCCCCAGCACCTGAGCCCCAGCCCCGGGAGCAGAGCAGCCCCTTCGCCTCTTCCTTGTGCTGCACCCCAGGCCAGGCCAAAGTCAGTGGGCACAGACAGCCCAAGAGAGGGGCCCTGGCCCCACAACCCCACCCCAGCCTATACAGAATCTCCTGGTTAACATCCACACAGCACAGCTGGCCTGGGCACAGCCCGACTATGACTTGCCACCCTGGACTTCCCCAGTTCCCAGGCCCTTGCTGAGGACAGTGACGCTCATGACAGCCCTGGAAGGCTTGCTGGGATCACCCCAACAGCTGCCCGGCCCTGGCATGACCTGGGTACCTGAGCCTCTGCCTTTCCACTCTGTGCATCTGGGTTGGCCCAAGGCTGGGTATTGGGGAACCTGTGTCCCCTCCAGCTCACTGGGGTGAATGACAGCCAGCTTCTGCCCACTGCTCCTCCAGACATATGGCTCAGGCTGGCAGAAAAGTGTGGCAGCCATGTCTTTGGATCAGGTGAGGGCTGGGTCTCCACAGGGGCTAAGGCTATGTCCAGACCAGAAGCCTCTACCTGTTGGGCGAGAACTTTGCCACCTTGACTGGGATGCCAGTTACACAGGAGGAGTGTGCTTGTCCACTCACATGGAAAATGACTTGTGTTCTCCTGAGCCCCCCCGCCCAGGACAGCCCCAAAGCCTCCTGAACCCTGGCCAGTCACTGCCATGGTCCATCAGTCACCGAGTCCCCACCAGACAGCACAGTAAGTCCTTCCCTTCATCCCAACTGTCACTGGCAGCAGAGGGAGTCCCCTGTGTCTAGCTCTGCCCCATCCCTCCTGCGCTAGGCTGAAGTCTGCTGTCCCTCAAACATCTCCTCGGAGGCAAAAAAGCCAAGGCCACAGGCCCTGCCCCACAGCTGCTGTCAGCTTTAGACAGAGGTCTGAGACACAGGGTTTCCTTTAGATGACAGAGTGGGTGCTGAGGCTGCCACCATGACATGCAGGTGGGATGGGGTGGCCTCTCCCCTCCCAGCAGAGGGTAGGCAGACACAGGGTCTCCTCCAGCCTGGGGTCCAGCAAGGTTGCACAGGTAGGACAGGAGCTGAGGGGCATCCACACCTGTTTACCCCTGCCGAGTACATGGAAAAGCTGAGGCCTCAGAGAAGGATGGGCTTACTCACAACTCTTCACGTCTGGGCAGGGCTGCCCCCATCAGGCCCTAGCTAGGCCTGGAACACCCCTGCAGGGAGCAGCTGGGCCTCTGCTGAGAGTTGGAGCTGGGGAGTCACACCTCAAGCAGCCACATCCCGGACAGCCAGGCTGCACACCCAAGGCCCAGGCCCAGCATGGCCACAGTGGAGCCATGCAGACGTCCTCACACTGCTGGCTGCCCCAGGGTGGGGGGAGGGGGGGTAAAGGGAGCCAGGCTAGGCCAACTCCCCCATCCCTGGGGACCTCGACCTCCATTATGAGAAGAGCTCTGCTGGCAACAAGGAAGCTGACGACACAGCCAGAGGCCTGATACAGGATCCCAGGGGCCACACAGCTCCAGCCCCCACCACCACAAGCTAGGGTCTGCGCCCCGCTCACTCCCGTGAGGACAGGGCTGCCAGAAGACACCCAACCGTCCAGTGACGCCAACCTCAGAGGAAGCCTGGATAGGGCTCAACCACTGAACGGATGCCCATGTCCCTGCATGAGGCCAGTGTCCCACTGGACTGCTGCTCAGGGAGCTTGGGGGAACACCGAGGCTGTGATAGGGGGTATGTGCCCGTGTCCCACTGAACATGGGGACAAAGTCAGGTTCCAAGAAATGGGTGCTCCAGCCACTGCTCCTCAGTCACACCCTTTCCCCAGCCAGAAAGGGGATCCAATCAGCACCACTCTGGGACAAAGGTGGCCCTCACAGCCACCTCTGATCAAAGCCCATACAGCCCCTCCAGAAGATTTCATCCCTTCTGTGTGGGCAGGACCTGTCTCAGACCCGCTGGGCACCTGGCTGGGGTGGGAGAGGCTGGGGCTGGTGCAAGACATCATGTGGATAATAAAGGGACCGTTTTCCAGCCCAGATGTCCCAGCAGGCTCCGGGCTTGTTCCCTCCAGGGGCAGGAAGCCAGGCAGCGGGCAGCAGTGTGCCCACTCTGCAGCTGGCAGCGAGGCCGAGAGCCCCACCTGTCCAGTAGGCTGGACTGCTCTCAGACAGAGACCTCCTTGGAGGGCCCCTGGTTCCTGCTGCAGGCAGCATCAGGGAGGAGGGGAAGGTCTGTGTGGCAGGTGCCTGCTGACCCCACAGAATGCCAGCCAAAGCTCACACCTCACCTGCTACCTGCCCTCCAGCTCTGGTCATGCTGGCCCTGCTCCCTGTCACAGTCACCTACAGCCATCACACACATGGGACTCTGCTAGGCCGTAGCTGGTGCCCTGAAGCTAGCCAGCCCCCAGCAGAGCACAGCACACCTGCCCTTCTGTCAGCCCTCCCAGGGGAGGGACCCTGGAGCAGCCCAAGCTGTGACCCGTCCAGCCCAGTGACTCCACCCCTGACACAGTCACAGCAGCCAGCAAAGAAGGGAGGGCAAGAAGACAAATCCAGTCCTGAACTGTATCCTGCACAAACAAGCAGCCCTCACCCCATCACGGGAGGAGACAACTGGCTCTGAGCGCAGAGACCCTGGAATGACCTTGGCTGCTTCTCCCCCAAGCCTCTGATGAAGCCCCAGGCCCAGCCTGCAGTTACACTCACCCCCAGTCCAGGCTTATCTGAGCGGGTAGTAGTGCTGCGGGGTGACAACTCTGCCCCCATCTAGTGGGAGGAGACGGCCCTCTCCTTTGTGCCCTTAAGTCCCACCCGGAACCCCTACACATCTGACCATTAAGGGGCGCTCTGTTCCCCAGCCCACCGGACAGCGCCTGGGGCCACCGCGACTCCCCACAGAAGAGTCAGGGAAGTGCAGTGGGTGCTGGGGGCGGGGCAGCCGTCGGGAAGGAGGCGGGAGGGGGGGGGGCACGGAGCGGGACTCCAGG